AAGGGTTTTCCTTCTGTTCGCGTTCAGTAGAGAGGTCAACCTCCTGAGGCATCGACCTGGGAATCCGAGTCCGATATGCGAAGCCGTTATCCCCATCTTTTCCCCGACTCAGATACTTCCTTCTTCTGTCTGTTCGAGGACGAACGGTTGTTTTAGAGGTGGAGAATGTGATGACCCCCAAAAGTCATCACTTGCTTTAAATCAAATTATGTGTTTTGAGGCCTTGAAAACCTCATTTAGAGTCACCTCGATTTGCATGCGCAGTCCGGGCGCATAGCCGGAAAGCTTAAATATGAAATTTTGTGAAAAATGATAGAATTTGGTTAGAAAATGAGTTAATTTGACTTTGATCAACGTTTTGGGTAAACGGATCCGTAACCATGATTTGACGGTCATGGTGGGTCCGTAGGAAAATATGGGACTTGGGCGTATACCGGAAATCGAATTCCGAGGTCCCAAGCCCGAGAAATGAATTTTAAAAGAAATTATTTTCTGAAACTGTTTAAGGAAAATTGAAATAAAATTTTCTCAGAACATAATGATATCGAGCCTGTATTTTAGTTCCGGCGCCCGGTACAGGTCTTATATATAATTTAAGACGTTTCTGTGAAATTTGGTGAAAAACGGATTTTATTTGACGTGAATTGGACTTCCGGTTGACGAGTTATGGACTTTGAGAGTTCTTGATGAAAATATTAAGTTTTGAGGTTTAATTCATGATTTTACATGTTATTTTGATGATGTGATCACACGAGTAGGTCCATATGATGTTTTTGAGTTAGTATGCACACTTGGTTTGGAGTTCCGAGGGCTCGGGTAAGTTTCGGGTAGGTTTCGGGATGTTTTAGGTTTAAAACTAGAAGTTGCAGGTCACTGAACCCACCAGTGCGGTCGACCTTGTGCGGTGCGCGGTGGAAGCTGTATGGCCGCGGTCGACTTCGTGCGGTCCGCACAAGGCACTGTTGTGTGGCCGCGGCCGACTTTGTACGGTCCGTATAGGGCGCTGTTGTGCAGTCGCAGTCGACTTTGTGTGGTTCGGACAGGGCACTGGACCGCAGTACCCTCAAGAAGGCTTATGCGGCCGCAGTCCATTTTGTGCGGTCCGCACAGGGGGTCTGAGAGGGGTATAAATAGATGGGATTTTCAATCATTTTTCATTTTTCAAAACCCCAAAAACGTAAGAGGCGATTTTTCAAACAACCTTTCTTCTCCAAATCAATTGTAAGTCATTTTTAACTAGTTTTCTTCAATCATTAACATCTTTTAACATGATTTCAACTTCAAATCAATGATTTTCATGGGGGAAATTGGATGTTTTGGGTAGAACCTAGGTTTTTCAAAAATTGGAGATTTGGACCTCAATTTGAGGTCCGATTTCAAAATAAATTATATATTTGAGTTCATGGGGGAATGGGTAATCGGGCTTTGGTTCGAACCTCGAGTTTTGACCATATGGGCCCGGGGGCAATTTTGACTTTTTGGGTAAAAACTTTGGAAAACTCATTTTCATGCATTCAAATTGCTTCATTTAGCATTTATTGATGTAATTAAGTAACTTGTGGCTATATACGAGCGAATTGGCGGTGGAATCAAGGGGTAAAGCTATAATTGAAACCAGAGTTGTGTTTGAGGCATCGAGGTAAGTGTTCGGTCTAACCTTAGCTTGAGGGATTATGAGTTGAGTCCTATTTGCTATTTGCCTCTTGCTGAGTACGACGTATAGGCATGGTGATGAGTATCTATAAGTTGGTGTCAAGCATGACCGTGAGTCTTAAATTTATACTTGTTGTATTCTTGAATGTTACTTCGGTTGAAATAGTGAGTAAATCCTTGATATTGAGCAAAGACTTAGTTTGTTTATCGTGGAATCTACTTATGATTGAGAAATGGTGGTATTTGAGACGAGTAGGAGTTAAGTTAAGATTGGTTATAGCTGATTCTCCCTTTTCGGGATGTATATACTTGTAGAGCTGAGTTCCCTTGTCGGGACGGTTAATTATGATTATTGATGACTGTATAGTTGGAACGGGTTACGCGCCGCAACAGATATTATATCGGATCGGGTTGCGCGCCACAATAGATATTATATTGGATCGGGTTGCACGCTGCAACAGATATTATATTGGATCGGGTTGCACGTCGCGACAGATATTATATTGGATCGGGTTGCACATCGCAACAGCTATATATATGTGGATCGGGTTGCACGCCGCAATAATGTTAAATGATAAGGGAACGGGTTGAGCACCGCAACATTATTATTATTGTATCGTTGTAGATATTGAGCTGTCCTTTCATATCTTATTAAGTTTTTGTTGGTCTTGATATGTTTCCTCGAAGCATGTACCCCCTCCCATTTTAAACTGCTCATTCCTATTTATTTTCCGCCATATATTATATAACTGTAGAGGTTTATCTGGAGTCCGGTCCTAGCCTCGTCACTACCTCGCCGGGGTTAGGCCAGACACTTACCAGCACATGGGGTCAATTGTGTTGATACTACACTCTACACTCTGTGCAGATACCGGAGCGACACTTGATCAACAGCAGTAGGGGAGCCAACCTTCAGTCCACCGAGACACCGAGGTAGCCTTGCAGGCGTCCGCAGGCCCGGCGTCTCCTCCATTTTTTATTATGTTCTGTTATCTCATGTATCCGAGACAAACAATGTTATTTTTCCTTCAAGCTGTTGTATGTGGTACTCTTAGTAGTCCATGGATATTGTGACACCGGTTTCTGGGTAGAGACATATGTTGGCTTTTCGTATCGATTTTGGCATTACATTCATCTAAGTCTTCCGTTTAATTTCATCTTCCGCTATTATCTAAATGTTTATCACCGGTTAATGCGAGTTGTTAAAAGGCTTAAAATAAAGTAGATAAAGATTTCCAAATTTTCCTGGCTTGCCTAGCTTCTACGAGTAGGCGCCATCACGACTCCCGAGGGTGGAAAATCCGGGTCATGACACTAGAGGTGTTCATGGTTCGGTTTGAATCAGGTTTTCCCTAAAAAGAAATCAAACCAAGTAAGTCGGTTTTTCAAATATTAGAATCAAACCAAACCAATTAAGTGGGTTTTTTCTCGATTCGGTTTATGTTGGTTTTTCGGTTTTTTGTTGGCTTTTTCTTAAATATAAGGCATACACTACCAAACACACATTTCGGCGATCACATTTCAACGTAACACTATCAAATTATTTGCCCTTTAAGAAATCAATTATTTACCAAGATATATTGATGATAATTGAATCAAATAGTGATGAATAATTTAAGGACTCAACTAAAAATATATTATTTTTAATATGAAATAGATTTTTACACTTAACAAAAGAAAACTACCAATTAAACTAGAATGTAAAGGTAAAGAACTGTACTAAAAGTGCAAATGATTAATATTTACTATAAAAATTTTAAAACTTTGTATAAAAGTGTGTATATATATATATATATGTGTGTGTGTGTGTGTGTGTGTGTGTGTAATAATAAATTTAAAATAGCTACTCTTATATTCGGTTTGGTTCAGTTTTTTTAATTAAAACCAAAACAAAACCAAATTTGATCGGTTTTAAATTTCAAAACCAAAACCAAACCAAAAAGTATCAGTTCTTTTGGTCGTTTTGGTTCGGGTTTTCGGATTTTTTTGAACACCCCTGATCAAAACCATCATTTGCAGCCACAGTGTAGAGAAAATTACAAACTCTAACTAATTGTGAAACTGTAGTAGAAATTAGACATGGATCTCACCTAGGGAAGCCAACTGTTTTCTTTTCTGCCAAAGATTATTTCATAAATCTAGATCAGGAATGCAAACTTACTATCATTAGTAAGTTCTTGAGAGGGAAGCCTACGATGGGGGAGATTAGGAAAATCTTTGTGAGGAAGTTCCATATGACTGGTACTGTAAAAATTGCATATTTTGACCCCCATCATGTTTACATTGATTTCTCTAATGAAGTATATTTTATCCACATTTTATTTAAAGAATACCTAGACATTGGGGATGCATCAATGAAAATCCTGAAGTGGACAACGGATTTTAAACCAGAAGAGGAAAAAACTATTGTAACGGTTTGGATTTTAGTTCATCAATTACCTTGGCATTTGTTCAACTGGCGAATTATCTCAAGGATGATAAGGGAGATTGTGTTGCGGTTGCTCCTGACCTGGCAACATATACAAAATCCATAGGAAATGTGGCCAAAGTAAATGTGGAAATTTATTTGTTGAAACCAAGACTTGACCAGATATGGTTGGGATACAAAAGAATGGATGGAACTGATGATGGCAGGTGGCTAGATATTGAATACGAAAAGGTTCCAAGTTACTGTATGTATTTTAAAATGCAGGGACATCTTGAAATTCAGTGCAAAAACAAAATCAGGGATAAAAGAATTAAGGCACAAAGGGAGGAACAAAAAAAGAAGAAAGAAGTACCAAACAAAGTTGATGAAGATTTCTAAACTGTGAATAGAAGAAATGGATCAAAAATGAAGTGTGGGCCAACCACCAGGCACCAAAACAAAGAAGATCAGTAGAGTACAATTCCTTATAATTCAAAAAAGGAGAATAAGGAAACAACAAAACATAAACAAGCCAAGGAATGCAATCAAGATGTTGAATCTCAAGAGGCAACAACAACACAAAAGGGAGGAAGAAATAATGGTATCTGTATCATTGAGCCTAAAGATACTCAACGCTTCACAACAATGAAGGAGGTTCCAAGAAAAGGGAAAGGGAAACTAGAAGATGATGAAAATAACAATACTTGCAGTGTAACAAAGGAGGGTCAAGATGAAGGCAATAGAGATCACACGATAAACTACATTGAGGCAAATAACAAGCAGAAAAAGAGGAACAGAAAGAAAAAAAAAGGAAAAATGAAACTGGGGAGGAAACCTTGATCTAGGAAGAGGGTAATAATCAACCAATTGCCACAAGCCAAGAGAGGAAAGAAAGTGTTGACAATATGGATATCTCAAGGCAGGGAGAGAATGGGAAAAAATGCAACAAGAGGCACAACCAAATGTATCCTACCAGCAAAGGGATATTAATCAAGCCAACTTGAATATGCAGACTAGTGAGACCACTATTGGAGTTGATGATGGAGAAGTCCAAAACAACTATCTTAAACTCATTAGTAGCACAAATTTGGAAGAGGAACAGAATAGTGGTTTTGAATATAATATGGAGAATGGGTAATAATCAGATTCATCGTATGAAGAAGATGAAGGCTCAGAGGAAATATATTATTCAGGTGAAATAAGTTCAGAAGCAATTGATGAATATGCAAGTGTGGATAGTGATGGAAAAGTAAATGAAAACTCTACAGATCTAGTAGAGGAACCCAATGGTGCAACAACTGATGCTTAGGCAAACATATTGGTGGAGACCTTTTGCTCACAATCACTGGTGGATATTAATGTAACTTCAGAGTTTGACAATGCCATCATAGGTAGGGGTAGGGACAGAGGTAGAGGAAATAATAGAGGAGGCAGACAAGCAACGAGAGGAAGATATGGTAAGCACCTTAATCAACAGTCTGTGGGATCTTCACAGGCAAATCACTTTTCATATATATCTAATAATTAAGTCTCTCTTTTGGAATATTAGGGGCATTAACTCTAATGGTGCCCTGGAGAGATTAAATCAATTAGTCAGATCACAAAATATCCCCTTTTGTAGCTATATGTGAGCCACTTCATAAAGCTGATAAATTGGATAAATTCAGGAGAATTCTAGGTTTTCAAAATGCTCATTCAAACAGCAATAGTCAAATATGGATCTTTTGGAATGATTCAGTGGTGTGTAATGTGGTAGAGGAGAATGAACAACAAGTAACATATTCTGTCAGTTGGGATGAGGTTGTAGTGCTGGTTTTATCTGTATATGTTGAGTGTGATGCAGATTAGAGGGAAGGACTTTGGGATAGATTGAAGGACACTGCTGAAAAATACAACAATCCATGGTTAATTGCTGGAGACTTCAATTGTATTTTGGATCCTTGTGAGAAGATAGGTGTTCGACCACATAGTATGTCCAAGAGCCTACCTTTCCTTGAATGCATTATGGACTGTGAACTATTGGACCCGGGTTTCTCAGTTTCAAATTTCACATGGTGTAATGGATGGTGCCCTGTGAAGAGGATTTAGAAAAGACTAGACAGAGTTTTAGTAAACCACGACTGGATGAACTTGTTTGATTCTACAAGTATAAATCACTTGATAAGCACAGGATCTGACCATTCCCCACTATACTATTGCAAAAGCAACAGAAAGGGAACATGTAAAGTACTTTAGGTTTCAAAATTTCTGGACTGAAGAAGAAGGCTTCAATGTAGTGGTGGAGCAAGCCTGGGGTATTAAGGTACAGGGATCTCCAATGTGGAGATTTCACTTAAAATTGAAGAATACTTGCAAGAAGTTATCTGAATGGTCTAAGAGTTCTATTGGCAATATTTTTGATAAGATTAAAGAGTTGGAAGGCAGAGTAGCTGACTTAGAAGCCAATCTAATTACTGATAATAGTGAAGTGAACTGAAATGCCTTAAATGAAGTTAATGCATTACTGATTAGAACCTATAAAAAGGAAGAATCATTTTGGAAGAAGAAATCTGGAGTGAAATGGTGTGTGGAAGGGGAAGTAAACTCAAAGTTCTTTCATTCTATGGTTAAGGGTAGAAAAAAGAAGCTTTATTTGAAGAAGATAAGGAAAGAAGATGGAAGCTGGGTGATGGTGAGGAGGATGTTGCCAAAGAAGCTATCTCCTTCTTTCAGAGACAATTCAAAAAGGAAAGTTGCCATAATGACTTTTCGGTTTTGAGTTGTATCCCTAAAACCATTGAGGAAGCAGATTATGATAGATTAACAACATTACTTATGATAGAGGAACTGAAAGATGTGGTGTTCTCTATGAGTTCACAAAGTGCTCCAAGTCCTGATGAAGTCTCGGCGAAACTCTACCATTCATGTTGGGAAATCATAAAGGAGGACCTACTACTACTGATCCTTGATTTTTTTTTGTAGGTATTGATATACCAAAGGCACTCACTCACACCTGTCTGGTACTCTTACCTAGGTTGGATAGCCCACAGTCCTTTACTGAACTAAGACCAATAAGTCTTAGTAACTTCTCATGCAAGATCATTTCTAAACTAATGAATTAAAGATTGAGTCCTTTGATGCAGAAACTGGTATCTCCTAATCAGACAGGGTTTATCAAAGGGAGGTCTATCACAGAAAACATTATGTTGACACAAGTGGTTCACAATATTAATAAATCATCACTTGCTGGGAATGTAGTTTTGAAACGGAATATGGCCAAAGCATATGACAGAGTCTCTTGGGAATACCTCTGTCCAGTGCTTAGGCAAATGGTGTTTTCAGAATGTTGGATAGATATGGTATGGAGGCTCATGACTAATGTGTGGTATTCTATAAATATCAACGGAATTAGGTATGGCTTCTTCAAATCTAGTAGAGGAATCAAGCAAGGGGATCCTCTTTCTCCATCCCTATTTGTGATTGGTGCAGAATTATTGTCGAAACTTATGGGTAGCTTAATTGGCTCAGGATTCAATCCATACTTTGCAGAAAAGAAGGGTCCCACCATCACTCATCTGTGCTATGCTGATGACACCATTCTCTTCTCATCCTGTGACTCATTATCATTAAACACGATGATGGAAAAATTGAGGCTCTACGAACAAGTTTCAGGATAACTGGTGAATAAAGGAAAGTATGGCTTCTATACTTCTTTTCAGGATGATGATCCTAGGATATCTGAAATTCAATGGATCACTGACTTCCCTAATTGTCCATTTCCTATACAATATTTGGGGGGTCCTATTTATGTAGGTAGTAAAAAGATAATATATTTCAACAACATGGTGGCAAAGGTGGCAGGCAGAATGCAAGGGTGGCAATGCAAATTACTGTCATATGGAGGAAGGGCAGTCTTGATCAAGTATGTTTTACACGATTTACCTCTGCACTTGATAACGGTAGTTAACCCTCCAAAAATTGTCTTAAAGCAAATCGACAACATAGTTGCCAACTTTTTCTGGGGGAAGAGCATTGGATTGCTTGGAATGATTTGTGCTTTCCAGTGACTGAGGAATGAGCTCGATTTAGATCACTTCATGATATTTGTAATGCCTTTTCTGCTAAAATATAGTGGAATTTCAGGACTCAAAAGACAATGTTGAAAGATTTTCTGGAGGCTAAATATTGCAAGATGGCCCACCATGTGGCAAAGAAATGGTCTTATGGCCAGTCTCATATATCGAGAAGATTAATGGACATCAAGAAGGATGTTGAACCATCTATTTTTTGGAGATTAGGGAATGGAGATGTGTCTTTTTAGTGGGACAACTAGACAGGTTTGGGAGCATTAGCTACAGTGACTCAGTGAAATAGAGCTTCGAAGAATACAAAGGTCAAAGAATTCATGCACAATGAGACTTGGAGGCAAGACAAACTAATAGATCTTCTACCTGTGAATGTGATCAATATTATTCAAAAGGTGGAGTTTGATGAAAGGAGAAAAGACTGCCCATACTGGTTACCAGAAGGTACAGGAGCTTTCACCTGCAAATCAGCTTGGGACCTTCTCGGGAGAAAACGGGGGGGGGGGGGNTATGCTAAGGTTACTTCAACATAAGATCCATACTGATGAAGCTGTGATGAGGTTTGATATTATGACCGTATCTAGGTGCAACTGCTGTTATAATCATGAGGAGGAGACCATTGATCATTTGTTTAGTAACAGCCAAGTCGCCAGGAGTGTTTGGTCTTTTTTCTGTAGTTCATGTGGAATTAGTTTTGTCCCATTACAGATAAGGCAGAACCTCATGAAATGGTGGATGACTAAGGGCAACAATAGTGTCCACACTGTAATGCTTCAATGTTTACCATCCTTAATATGTTGGGAAATATGGAAGAGCAGATGTGCAGCAAATTTTGAAAACATTCGATTGTCAGCCAGACATATCATTTATCAAGTGTCTAATACCATAACCTTGATATTTAATTGTCAATTCCCTGATCTTCAACTCCCTCATTCTTGGATAGACAAATGCATAGTTTTAGAGAAGATGTCACCAGTAATTCACTCTCAGATTGTTTGCTGGAAGAAACTTGTGAGTGGTTATATCAAACTAAATGTGGATGGTTGCAGTAAAGGCAATCCAGGTTCAGCTGGTGGAGGTAGGATTATCAAAGACCATCATGGTGATTTAGTGACGGCATGAAGCCAAAAGTAAAATATGAAATAATTTCAACCAAAGACTAAAAATATAATTAAAGTTCATATGTAGACAATTTTTAATAAAACTCATTCTTTTATAGTGAAATAAATTAATTTTTTGTAACAAAAGAAATAATGACATAAAAAATAAGATAAAAGATAATAAATATTGAAAAAATGTTAGAAAGATCTAAAAACGAGAAATAAAAGATGACAACAAATTTCTTCTTATGTTTCGTCTTTGTTGAGTATTAAAAATTTGAAAGTTAATCTCATCGATTTCAAACATTTTTTTTCTACTCAAATACATAGATTATAATATAAGGATATCTTCGAATATTTTTTTTTTAATTTACATTATGTGTCGTTTTTAAAAAATCACTATTACTAACAAACTAATATGATATTCGAATTTGAATTGGAATGCAATTTGAGCAGCTTGCATTGAGGTTAACCCAAGTATGGTGTCAAAAATAAACTACTTGACAATTTTAAGACAATATATGCAATGTTTTATAATAATAATAATAATAATAATAATAATAATAATAATAATCAACTAATTTAACATTTAATGATTCAAAGAACATTTTTTTTATATATAGGGTATTAAAAATTCAAATTACGGGGCTAGAGATATTGATAAACTTAAAGTGGAATCATACTGAAATAAATCCGGCGAAAAAATTATTTAAATTTTTAGATAGCCGATCAAAGTGAATTTTAAATTAAGGATAATATCTTCACTTGCATCATTATAAAGATAATCATTATTATAATATATATAAAGTTTTAGAAATTGAAATTTCAAAATAGAAATATTTTTTGAAAGATAAAATCATACCAAATAAGAGTTCAAGTCGTAGTATAAGAGTCACGTCGTAACCAAAAAATCGTTTATATCGTGTCAACCTTTGTGTTTTGCCATAAATATGAGTTATTATTTCATTTTTGGCTATTTTTAGGTTCCAATGACACTTATAAAAATAGTGCAAAAATAAAATTATCACTATGAGAATTGAGAAATATTAGTCTTTTTTCATGTAGTATTTCTTAATTAATATCTGACGATTATCTATATTTATTTAGAAGGTTTAAATGTTAAGGTTATTTACATATAATTCAAATAACTCAGATATTTAACATGGTTAATGTCAAATATCAAAATGGAGTAAAAAAAATTCACTAGCTAAAGAGTTTTTTATATTTTTAGATAGCCAACTAAAATGAGTTTTGAATTAAGAATAATATTTTTAATTACATGTATAAAAATAATATTTTAGAAACTGAAATTTTAAGAAAGAAATATTTTTAAAGAGATATCCACACACCAAATAAGAGTTCAAGTAGTAGTAAAAGAGTTAAGTCTTATCCAAAGAGTCATTCATTGTCTCAACATTTGATTGTTTTGCCATAAATATGAGTTATTATTTTGCTTCCTCACTATTTTTAGGATCCAATGACACCGGCAAGAATGATATCAAAAAAAAATTAGAAGAAATGGTTAATTTTTTTCATGTGGTTAATATTCAATGATTATCTATATTTATTGAGAAAGTGTAAATTTTAAGAATATTTACATACAATCCAAAAAACTTAAATATTTGACATGATTAGTGTCCACGCATCCGCACGAATACTAATATTAGTTTTATAAAAAGAAAAGAAAGCCCAAATAAGACTAATCGTCTCCCGAAATTATTTTTTCTTCTGGGGAAAAAAATGTTTTTTGATATTTATTACAAATGTTGCCAACTAAATGTAGTTGTATTTCTAATAATGTGAAATTTGAATAAAATGTCAAAACGTTTGCTGACATTTTTCATCAAACGTCGGTATTTTTGTGACATTTTTCTAACAAATGTCAATAAATTAATTATTCACCGACATATAAAGTGTCATCAAATAAATGTCATCGTATCTCATATTTTTGTACAACATCATGTGTTGGCTGAAATTTTTGTTTGTAATTGCTGAACTTCAGTATTCTAGTAGCTGAAGCTTTATTCTATATTTGCTGAACTTCAGCATGTTTTAGCTGAAGCTTTGTTCTGTATTTGCTGAACTTAGGCATGTTTCAGCTGAAGCTTTGTTCTGTTTAAATGAACTTCAGGGCTGAAGTTTATTTTGTATTTGCTGAACTTCAACATTCTAAGAGCTGAAGTTTTCGTTTATATTTGTTGAACTTCAACATTCTTAGAGCTGAAGTTCTAAAACAACAATGAATTTAATAGATCATAATTAGCAGCGATTGATACTGTTCATTTCAAAGATTAAAGAATGAAAAATCTTTTCGACATGAAAACAAATTACTACAGATAAATTAGAACCAAAAATCAATGTGCCTGTAAAGCTAAAATATCTAAGAGGTTAAATTATTGTGAATAAGACCAAACCGAATATAATAGGACAAGCAGATATATATATGAATCATCAGGCTAGAACGCATAACAATATCTCAATCTTCAGCATTCAGAAAACGAAGGAGGAGAAGGAGGAGGAGAAAGAGGCCTGAAGTTGTTTAAACAGTAGGTACAAGTTAAAACTTTTTTAAAAAGTGGGTATAGGTTAAACGGTGGCGACCAAATAGGGCGCCACGTGCAATTTTTACATTTCCTTCTGTATGAGTTTCATCTTCATTAAGGCAAAAAATTGAGTTTCCTTCTTCAATGAAATTTTTAAACCCGCACCTCAACCGCACAGTTTTTTTTATTATTTCGACCCGTCCCGCCCCGTTTCACACTCGCATATATTTAAATCCGCACCGTCTCATATTCGCATCGCCCCATTGCCATCTCTAGCTAATTGTATGCTGTGGCCGATGTAGTATATTGGGTTTCAATCTGGTGTCGAAGCTAGGGTCATGAATTCGAGTTCGAGGAAAACTATATTGTGTGCAAGTGTTGGGGTGTTGTTGGGTAACGCTAACATCTCGTCTATGGCAAGATCCAAGTACACGGGTAGGGAATGACCAGGATTGGAATATTAATGGTCGAACATGATGTTTGCTAGATGGATTTGATTACGATGCATTTGCTATAACTATAGCTTTTGGCACGTGATAAGCTGTGTGTGAAAAATAATTAATTGTTTAACAAATATTGAATTGTGAATTCATAATTTTAAAAGTACAATGAAATCGCCGGTATTAAGAACCTTATGGTTGAATCCGTCAAATTTAAATTTTAAATCTATATCTGGTTGTATGTATATATATTTTCTAAAATATTTTTCGGTGGGAAAAGAAAGATACAAATTATAAAGTTTTAAAAACTGCGGTGTAAAGTCTGTAACAAAGAAAATTGAGGTAATATAATCCCATGAAGAAGAAGACTTATCAACATGCTTGCCTTTCACCAAGCTAATTCGCGGATTAAACCACAAAAAGAAAAAAGAAACCAAAAAAAAGAGAGAAAAAGAAAAAGCACTTAACGCCTCGATCTCTCCCAAAAATTAGAATTCTTGTCAGCTACA